AATTGGTGCATAGGATGAACATACAAAAACCCTGATTGTCATGACTGTGTCAATCCTCTACAGTCTGTTGCATTTTCTTTAAACAGATGCTATGAGTATAGGAGGATGTCCAACTTATGTACCAGCTCTGCCTGGGGAAGCACTTTCCCATTCAGAGATAAAGTCGGATAACCTCTAGGACCAGGTTCCATAACTCATAGCCAGTTGGTCTTACTAGGGTTGAATTGAAGCCTGTTTTTCTCTATCCATATTCTCACAGCCTCCAGATACCAGGAAAGAATCTTGGTGACGTCACTTGGTGAACCCAGATAAAAAATGTGTAATTGTATATAATCAGCACATCATGATTTATGTTGCTGGTTACTTTACCTCCTGTCATCATATAAATGTTAAATGTTAAAAATTGAATGGTTTTGCCTGCCTTGAAAGAGACAGTGGTTTGTCCCCTCCTCAAGAGCTTAGCTTTAGATATTACAGATTATTTTCCATTGGTCTCAATCTTTACTTTTAGGGAAGGCTGTAAAGAGAGTGGTCTCAGTTGTGAAGGCCTTTCATGAAGCAAATTATCTGAACCCTTTTCAGTTAGAATTCAGATCAGACTATAGCACTGAAACAGCATTGATTACACTTGTGCATTACTTTTGGGGGATTCATGATAGAGATTTATTCATCCTGCCTTCCTGGATCTCTTGGCAGCTTTTGATAGCATCATCCATGGTGTCCTACTGGACCAGATCTATTGGGAAGTAGCACTTTATTGCCAAGGTTTATAAATTGTTACAGAAATTGAATATGGAGAATGAATTTGTGAAGCATTGAATGATCCAATGAGCAAAGAATTTCAGGAATAATACAATTCTCAAATAATGAGAAAACATGCATTAAAATGATTTAATTTTTTAAAAAAAATGTATCATTGGTATTTAACATGCAACAAATTCTCAAAATATAAAGATATTTGAAATGTATGTTGGAAATGTAGATGTAAACAAAAACTTCTTTTACCATATTTGGTGGACTTGTGATAAAGCAAAGAAGTACTGGGGTAAGATTCATGTTTTAATACAGAAAATTCTAAAAGTGAATATAAACATTAAACCAGAGACATTTCTCTTTGGCTTAATAGACAAAGAAATGGAAAAAAATCTGGAAGCTTGTTATATATGTTGATAGCAGCAAGAATTATTTAT